CATTACAGCTCACAGCAACCTCCAACTCCTGGGCTCAAGCGAGTCTCCTGCCTCCGCCTCCCAAGTAGCTGGGACCACAGGTGCCCGCCACAACGCCCAGCTATTTTTTGGTTGCAGCCGTCATTGTTGTTTGGCGGGTCCAGGCTGGAGATTCGAACCCGCCACCTTAGGTGTACGTGGCTGGCGCCTTAGCCGGTTGAGCTATAGGTGCCGAGCTGAACTTGGGGTTCTTATTCTGATGTATGAACTAGATAGGGTTTGGCCTGGGTGTCCGGAGGCCTAAGGAGTCAGGGCAGGGGAGTGTCACAGGTAGGAGTTCTGGGTTCTTGATGCAGCTTGCTGTGTGACCTTGGGCCACTCAGTCTCCCTCTCTGGGCCTCTAAGTCCTCAAGGCTGCCGAATGGATGGTCTCATGGGGTGGATGCCCCAGTGGTGATGGTTGAGGTGGAAGAGGAGGCTTTGCTGAGAGAGGTGCCCAGTGATCTGGAGCGTCAGTGAGCTGCCTTCCTTGGACCTGGCCCGGTAAACCCTGTTTGTCTCCACAGCAACCAAACAGCACCACACCCACATTCCACTGCACAACCTTAAGCCTGGGCCCTCTTCCAAAAGGAGCCTAGCCTAGGTCTCCCATGGGAGGCTGGTACCTATCTTTCCAGCTGTCCCAGGGGCCAGGAGCCAGGGTCAGGACCCCCACCAGACACCTGTCACGAACATTTCAGAAACCTCAGCCTGGCTAACTCTGTGTCTCCTGGGAAAAGCATCAGCTGCTGCTCTGGCCCAGCCTGGAGAGCCAGAGACCTCAACCAACGCTTCTCCCATTCTGTCTCTGGGCCTCAGTCTCCCGCCTACAGTCCCGCCTTGAAGGAGGAATGGTGTGGACGGGCCTATGTGGCTGCCAGTGACCAAACATTAACAGAGATAACTGAGGCAGGAGCCCAGCCCAGGGCCCGGCTCAGGGAGGACCTCATTGCAGAGTGAGATTTTTATTATTCATCTAACTTTTTTCCTCACATATTTTGGTGTTAAAGTTTACTTTTTTAGTAGGATGTGGACTGAGAGATTGATTCTAAACAGCAAGACCCATTTCTGTGGTGAACGCCAGCGGGCCTTGCTTAACACCATCCTCCACAATTTCCCCAAGTCCTCCCTTGGGAGGTGGTGGAAGCTTCTCCTCGTCTCTGACCCTGAACGTGAAGACTGTGGGGGCCCGTGCCCTCCCCGCCTCTCCAGTGTCTCTAGGATTCCCTGGCTTGGCTTTCGAGGTGCCCGGCTCTGGCCCCAGCCACCTTCCAGCACTCCCCGTCCTCTGCTCTGGTCTTTCCCTCCTTGTACCCCTGGCCAGGGCCCTGGCATCTCTCAGGGCTTAGAGCTTTCTGGCTTGAGGAGTCCCTGCTTTCCTTCACATAGCGCCACAAACAGAGATGCTCCGCCCTGACCTTCCCCCATGAAGGCAACCCCCTTCTTTCTCAAGGACACCGATTCAAGTTAGTCCCATTGGGTAATGTGCCTCGTGCCTCTCTCAAGGCTGTGGGTCTGAGTCTTCTCAGTGCCTCAGCATTCAGGAAGTGTTTAATAATTGCTGAGTGAACCGACGCCCCTGACAAACCAGCTGAGCCAGGAAGGGAAGAGAAAAGAAAGGAATGGAAGGGAAGGGACCCTGATCTAGGGCTGGGTCTCCACCAGTGCCTGGACAGGACAGGTCCCACCCTGAGACAACGTGTGGTCCTGCCCTAGGGGATTGATGATGGAAAACCAGATCCCTGAAGCCAGGAGCACCGGTGCCACCCGAGCCACTCGGGCTGGAGGTGGGCCTAGCCTTGGCTCCCAGTGTGTGTCAGGAATGCTCACCTCCTTGTTGTGGCAACCTTGTTGGCAGGGGTGGAAACAAGTCCCCCTCCCGAGAGGCTTCCAAGAATGCCTTAGTTATGGGCCTCTGGGCCAGGGCTGGGACAGCTGAGGTGCTGACCTCCACTTAGTCCAGACAGGTGCTGCCAGCATCCTCATACTAGGCCTAACAATTTGCTCCCAGGGACCACCTTGGTCCCCACTGAATCCCAGCACCCAGCAAGGTGCTTGGAGTCCTTTTTGTTTTTGTTTTTTTTGAGACAGAGCCTCAAGCTGTCCCCCTGGGTAGAGTGTCGTGGCATTACAGCTCACAGCAACCTCCAACTCCTGGGCTCAAGCGAGTCTCCTGCCTCCGCCTCCCAAGTAGCTGGGACCACAGGCGCCCGCCACAATGCCCGGCTATTTTTTGGTTGCAGCCATCATTGTTGTTTGGCAGGTCCGGGCTGGGGATTCGAACCCGCTACCTTAGGTGTACGTGGCTGGCGCCTTAGCCGGTTGAGCTATAGGCGCTGAGCCTGGAGTCCTTTTTGAATAAATGCCAGCTGGCCATGACCAGCCCCAGTGCCAGCCCCCTCATAAAGCCTTTCTTCACAGCTCCTGGTCAAAGTGCCTTCTATTTCTCTGACTTCGGAAGCATTATGGTGCTTGAATAAAAAAGACAGCTGTAACGATCCCTTTCCTACTCTCCAAGCTGGTTCAGGGACTTCATGGGCTAGAGGTAGGAGTCCTGAGTTTGAATCCTGACTCACACTGGCTGTGTGACCTTAGGTGAGTCACACTACCTCTCTGAGCCTTGATACCCTCACCTCTAAAATCGGGGTAATAAATTGTCCCTTCCTAATGAGTGGCCTTGATGCTCAACCATAGTGAGGTGCTGGGTCAGTGCAACGTGGGCTTCGGTGTAAGATGCTGCTGGTTTCCCTTGTGTTCTCAGCTGTTTGGGAGCTTGTCTTCTCCCCTATCAGACCACGGTCTGTTCACCCTCACGATCTGGCCCTATACCATCTCCTCTGAGACGCCTTCCTGGATCCTTCTGGCCAAGGCAGCCGCTTTCTCCTGTTGTCCCCACTTTTTTGATCTCCCATATCTCCTATAAGATTGTTGTTTCTCTTTCGGACTGAGAGTTTCCTGAGGGTAAGCTTGTGTCAGGTTCATTTCTGCAGCCCAGTGTCTGAGTCAGGTTGTGGGACAGATGATCCTCTTGGGAAATATTTGCTAAAACCCCTTCCTCACCCTTCAAGGTGCCTGGTAATGGCCTTGGACCCAGAAGGAAGTCAGTAAACAGTGGCTCAGCTGTGGAAATGGCACACCGGCCTCCTCCTGTGGTAAAACTGAGAACTAGGATGTGATTCTGCCTGTGCAGGGGCCCCGTGTCCTTCCTCTTCCCTCCTCCAGCAAAGCCCCCCCCCCCCCCCCCTGCCCCGCCTCTGCAGTTCTGCTATGGCTGGGCTCCCAGGAATGGCATCTCCTGCTTTTCCTACACTTTTCAAATTCTGAGGGCTTCCGGGTTGTCACGGCATTAGATCCTCACTGCATGCAGGCTGGACAGGAGGTCTTCAACCCATTTTACAGAATAGGAAACTGAGGCAGGACAAGACAGGTTAAGAGCCATGGCTAAGACTGCACACTGAGTTAGGAGAGAGGAAACCAGGCCTAGAGCATAGCACTCCTGCCCTAGGCCTGAGATCCTTCTGGCTGCAGGCCCTGCCCTCCCCATCTTCTCCCCTGCTCCTGGCCCCTGCCCTGCCTTCCACCATCAGCCCCCCGCCCTGGAGACACCCAGCTCAGAGCAGCTGCCTTCTCATGCTACCAGAGTCTTATTTTATGAGGGCTGGCTCCTCAGGGGCCCAGAATTCCGGCCCCAGGCTGGCTGGTGAACAGCTAAGAATAACCCAGGCCCCAGTCTCTGGCAGCTGCTGCCCTATTTGAGGGATGGGCAGAGCTCAGGGTCCATGGGTCTGTGGGGTTGCTAAGGCCACAAGAACTCAGGCTATAAGGAACTTGGACTCATGTGACCTCAGAGACCCCAAGCATGGAGTCAGGGTGAGGACCACCCTCGCACCCCAGTGGCTTACCAGGTGACCTGGGGTGGTGGCGAGGCATAGATGGTGCAGGTCAGCAGGACATTGGCGTTCTCCCAGACAGCGTGGGAGCGCAGAGGTATCCAGAACCATGGCCCCCGGCCTGAGCACAGCTCCTTTAGCTCCTTGGCCTCCTGGACCTTCTCCTCCATCTGGAGGCGGGAGAGTGTGTGACTCTGATGCTCCAGGGACCACCTCTTAGCCATTGCCTCCCCCCAGACACCTAGACTCCAGAGGCAGCATCCTCCTGGGTACCAGCTGGGGCAGTGTGGGCCAGTGGGGAGGGTGTGGGCCTGGGATCAAGGCCTGACCCTTCTGCTCTCCAGCTGTGGGCCCAGAGGCAGGTCCTCAGTATTCTTATCTGTGACATGGGATGATGATAATATCTCCCCACCCACTGTGGGTCGTAGTCAACGTGGGCACTCAGAAAGCCCACACCAGTGTGATCTGGGGAGGGTGCCAAGATCTCAGACACAGGCCAGGGCTCTTTTGTGTTCTCAGCACTGGCAGTCACCTTACAAACCCAATCTCACATAAATCCCACCTGGGAACTGAGAACGCGACAGATGAGAGCACTGAGGCTCAGGAACAGTGACTTACTCGATTGCCCCTGGTCACATAACTGGCAGGTAGGGGCACAGGTTCAAACCCAGGGCTCAGCCTCTGTCCCGGGCCCAGGGACTTCCCAGGGCCCCCTCACCCGCCGTCTCAGCGCCTTCCGGTCACGCCTCTGGCGCAGCATCCGGTGTGTCCGCAGGAAAGCAATCTCAGTCTTTTCCCAGTCATTGCCGAAGCCCACCCGCTTCTGCCCGCGCTCCTCCAGCTCCACCTTGGAAGTCTGGCGTCTCAGCTGGGCTTCCCTGTGGGGACAGAGGCCACTGGGGCTTAGGCAGGGCCAGAAGGGCCTGGGGCAGCCTGGCGAGTTCCCTCCTCACATCCAGCAGTGCCACAGGCACGGGAAGCTTTTCGGGGACAAGTGCTACTCTGTACCCTCTTTTGTCTCCAAAACTCCCCGAGACAGCCCGGTTTATAGTCAGTGTGTAATAAACACTTGCCTATCATAGTTTGTGATGCTCTTTTAAAACCTTTGGGCAGCTAGGTGCAGTGGCTCATGCCTATAATCCTAACACTCTGGGAGGCTGAGGTGAGATCACTTGAGTTTAGGAGTTCGAGACTAGCCTGAGCAAGAGTGAGAACTCCGTCTCTATTAAAAATAGAAAATATTAGCCAGGTGTTGTGGCAGACACCTGTAGTCCCAGCTGCTTGGAAGGCTGAGGCAGCAGGATGGTTTGAGCCCAGGGGTTTGAGGTTGCTGTGAGATGGGCTGATAGCATGGCGACAGAGCGAGATTCTGTCTCAAAAAACAAATAAACCAAAAAAAAAAAAAAAAAAGAAAGAAAGAAAGAAAGAAAAAAAACAAAAACAAAACCTTAAACCAAACAAAAAACTGTGACTTTTTTTCACTAAGGCCAAGTGGGCAGGCATTAGTCTATTCTGCCAGGCAGGTACTGAGCCCCACTGCTTTGTTTCCAACCAGCCAGGCCCATGGCCCACGCCTTCCAGCCCAGGGCCCTGCCCAAGCCAGACTCTGCTGCTCCACGTTGTCATGCTCAGGGGCCTTCTAGGCTCTGGGCTCCTGTGTGAAACTGGGGCTGGTTCACTCGCTCCTTCCCTCCCATTCCCAGCTCTTCCCACGTGAAGCTCATGGGTGAAGTAGGCCCCCCACCCTCTCCCTTGGGGACAGTCCTTTACTGCTATGTGGATCTTCTAGAGGGCCACATGTGGGCTGTGCAGGCAGACAGTGCAGGGCTTATACTCCTGTCGACAGCCCTATTCTAGATGTGTAATTTTGGGCTGGTTCTCTAAGCTCAGGGTGGGGGCCCAGCAGGACATAAGGGGTCTGGACAGGATGGCTCCCCCTCCAGCAGGGTTCCCTGGGAAGGTTACCTAACTTACCAAGACAACTCGGAGGAAGCTGTCAGAGCCAGGGCTGCAGCGAGGGCGTAGTCCACGGCCGTGAATTGGTACTCTTCCTCACTGTGTCCAGAAGGGGGAAGTTAATGGCTCCTGTAAGATAAGCTGGGGCTCCCTGAGGTGAGGGCTACATCCACCCACCCCAAGCTCAGGGTGCGTGTAGGCAGGGCCGGGCCGGGCCATCCACCCTTAGACAGGATTTCCAGAGGGAAAGGCTATTCCTCCCCTCCAATCAGGGGCCTCTGGAGGGCAGGGCTGTGTCTGCCTCCTCCGACTGGGGCCTTGTGCTCCCACCTGCTGCGGAAGGTCCGCTTGCGCACCAAGGAGCCCATGTGCAGGCTGTGCTGCCGCTGCTCCTTCTGCTCCTCCTCCTGCCGGTGTTCCAGCCTGTGGACCTCCATGGCCTGGCGGGGCTGAGGGTCCCCCCCACTTCCGGGGGTATGGGGCAGAGTCATGGCTATAAGAGCAACCACCTGTCAAGGCCAAGGTCCATGGTCATTCCAGCAGGTACCTGCCCATCCTTTCCTGTGCTGTCTTCCCAACATCTCTTGGAGGCTGGTGGGCCTTGGGGTTCTGTCTTGAGTGGAGGGACGGGGGGGCTGAAGCCTGAGAAGGAGAGGGACCTGCCCAAGGTGACAGAGACAGGCTTCAAGCTCTGAGCCTGGCTTCTCCCCAACCACATGGACCCCCTCCTAGATAGGAGAGCAGAGCCCCACATAAGGGAGCAGCCCCTGGCTTCCAGATGCTTCTACTGCAGACCTACTGCAGGATCTGGGGGCAAGCCTTTCTGTTCTCAGGGCCTCAGCTTCCCTCCCAGTCAGGGATTGAAATTGTGACATCCATGGCTGTCTCTGTGGCTCAAAATGGACAGGTGTCCTCCCTGTTCCTGCACAGTCCTCACTCAGTCCTACCATGCTGGTTCCTCTCCTGGAGCACCCTTCTCCTCCCCTGAGAGAGCTTAACTCCAGCAATGCTTCAAAGGCCAAGCTGAGAATGCTCCAGGTAGCACAGTGGTTAATCATGGAGGCCTGGGCTCGGCCCAGCAGGTGTGATCCCAGCTCCTCACGCCCGCTTACAAGCACGTGACCTTGGGCAGGACTCTATGACTTGGTTTTCTCATCTGTAAAATGGCCCTACTAACCGACAACTACCAGAGTAGTTGTAAAGGTTAGATGAGTGCCTAACAGTAAGTACTATGTAAGTGTCAGAAGTTGGCGTCATTTTTCTAAGAAGCCCTGCTGAAAAACTATAGGCTGTCTAGAACTCTCTCTACTCCAGTCCTTTTTGTACCTTTAATCTGTACGGCACAGTTTAGCTCTGATTCAGAAAATGCCTCCTCATCCAGTTTAATTATCTTGTGTCTGTGCATCTTGATTCTTCAACAGTGTTGTATGTGAATTGAAAGTAACAATAGTTGCCCCAATTTAAGTTTAGAAATTACTAGTTTCAGTAATAGCTGAACCTGTTCAAAATGTTAATAAAAGTTTTGTTGCATGGTAGCATTAAAAAAAAAAACAAAAACGTAACAATAGTGAGCACCTCCCGTGTGCTAGGCCCCACCCTAGGAGTTTTCACATGCATTATCCACAGTCCATGCAATAACTCAAATGACAACAGCCCTGTTATTCCCTCATTTTACTGACAAGGGGGGAAGGACTTGCCTACGCTCACTGGCTAGTTGGTGGTGGGGCCATGACTGACAGGCCCCTGGGCCTCCTGACCTTTGCATCTCATTTCTGTTCAAGCCCAAGCCTTGCTGGGGCTGAGGACACAGTGGACCCTAGACCCTTCTTCTCCTAAGTGGAGCACAACATGTAGATCTTCCGTTATATTCCTGAGGCTCAGGTGTAAGCCCCAGGTGTGCTCAGTAGGGCTGGATCAAATTGATCTGGAGGAGGCTCATGGATACAGAGAGATAAGGGAGGTGGTTTGGGGTTTTGGCACTCAGCTCTTCCTCAGATCTGGGCTTTGGTGTCTGCTGTGAATCTGGGGCCCTGCTGACCTGGTGGAATCCCTGGGGTGGCTTTCATATCTCATCCAGGTGGGACTCCCTCCTGGTCAGCTCTGACCTAGGAGGGTCCCTGTCCAGGCTTGGGAGGGAAACAGAAGAGATCAGCACTGCCCCCCTCTCCCGTCAGCTCTGTCTGGCCCCTACCTTTCTGGAGGGGCCTGCTATAGGTGTCAGTGTACATGTGTGTGTGTGTGAGTGAGTGTATGTGTATGTGGAGACTGTCCTCTGAACTCGGGTGTGAACACAGCACCTGAGTGACCATTTATCTAGGTCTATGATGTGGAATCTGAGCCCCCTGGCCCCTCAGAGATCCCTCGGCCTGGAAGGGGCCTTCTGGGGTGTGTCGCGGGGCTCAGGCTGCTGAGGACCAGCCTTAGTGGGCATTTACTCTTTCCAGTTCCTAGAAATTTGCTGCCTTTGGGCGTCCACAGCTGTGGGAACCAGGAAAGAGGGTGGATTACCACAGTGTTATCTGGGACCAAGGGCTGCCCCTAAAGCTCCCTTGGCTCTTGCCCTCAGCCTCAGCTGAACATAATGAGACAGCTTCAGCTTCATTTACAGGCCCTCCCAATGGAAGAAGGTCTCTCCGTGCCCAGAGAAGTGGCCAGTCCTGCTCATTCTGCCCTTCTCCCTCATAGCCTGGGAGGAGAGCTGCTATATACTGCCCTAGGCAGAGCAAAGTCCCCTCATACCCCCAGTTTTCCTGGGACAATGTGGCCTTGGCCCCAGCAGCCTAGAGTTAACATTCCCTGGCGCCAGCCCCTGGCTCCCTTCCCCTGGGTGCTCTGTTCCTGATTAGCAGGGTGACCAGGGCTGGCGCATATCCCTGACCTCGGGGCCTCCAGCAACCAGACCCTGGCTTTAATGGGTGAGGCATAGACTCTTTTTAAAGCACTGACTGATGCTCAGGATTAAGCCGGGACAAGTTTGCAGCCTCCCTGCCCTTTCCCCACAGGACCAGGGTGCCCTCTTCCCAGAATACTCTGTGTGTCAGCCCTGGAGGGATCAGCAGGGTGTGGGCCTGGAGGGGAAACCACCACCTTTGCCTTTCCCGGGCGTGCAAAAGCCTGGGCCAAACATTTGTGGCCATCCAACCACCTCTACTTTCCACCCAAGCCTCGATCTGCTTCCCAGCCCTCCAACAGGCATCCAGAGGAGGCCTCTCCCTTTCCCCAAGAGGGGAACAGAAATGCATGGAGGTTTTTCCAAGATCCCTCTGGGGACTGATGGCAGAGGCTACATTGGGTAGGAAGGAGCAGAGACAGGGTCTGTGCTGGCTGGAACATGGTTTTAGCTGATGGTTCCACCAGCTTCTCAGAGGCTCCAGTTCTGAGCTGGCCTCTGATCAGCCCAGGCACTGGGTGAGATCCTTTCTGGCTCTAAGACTTGGGATCTGAAGGCTAGCTCCCTTCCCTGCCTGTGGGGTAGGCCAAGCAGAACTCAGCTAGCACTGTTGTAAGTTTGGGGGCCTTGCCAGCTCACCCTGGTCCCTGCCGGCTGCTACTTCATCACAGGAAATAATCCAGTTCCCAGGGTGGCCCTGTGTGTGTGTGTGTGTGTGTGTGTACACAAGTGTGCAGCTTTCAATAGGACAGAAAACTCAGCTCTTGGGAGATCCAGGGACACTCAGAGCAGTGGGATGGGGCAGGGATTTCTGAGATTCTCTCCCCTATTTTAACTTTGACGGGACCTTTTCCCAACACACACACACAAATCTCTCAGGCCCCTTCCCCAACACACACAGACACAGACACACACACACACACACACACACACACACGAATCACTGCCCAGTGGAAAGCTGAGGGTCTCATTTTCTGGAGATATATCTGCCCGCCCCAATCCCTGGAGGTGACTCACAGAAGCAGCTTGCCCACTTAGGACTCTGGGGAGAAGATTCCAGGGGGTGAGAGGGTCCTTGGTCTCTTCTTGCCCTTGGCTCAGCGAGGACTGGGAGAAAAATGTGATCCTGGAGGCTGCACCGTCTTAAATATAGCAGCACTGTGACAGTACGATGACAATGGAAGAGAACTATGGTGTGGGGCAGAGGGGGGAGGGACAGCTCCGGCCTGCCAGCACTGCTGGATGGCAGCAACAGGTGGAGCTGGCCCCCACCCCGCCCCCATGCCCGCTCCTCCTCTCGGTGATGCCTTCAGCCTGAGTCTCGCCCCGTCACAGAGGAGGGGATGTGACGACGCAGGCTTGTTAGGTGGGAGGTAGATCTAGTGTAGTTCCCAGCTGTTGGGAGTTCAGATCCGAATTCTCCTCCTGGCTGGGCTGGGTGCCCTGGGGAAAGCATTTGGCTTCTCCAATCTGATTCTCCTTCTAAAAAATAGAGACCTCAAGGCTGGACACCTGGATGTCATCAAGATGAAATGTGACCTAAAAATAAGTCTTCGGTGCTACTAAATTATCACTGGGTAGGATGGAAGTGTGTGGCTTTTGGTGTCTACCGCCAGTTACTCACATAGCCCCTACCCTGTCCTCTGTCATGTGTGGGCAAGGTGTTGGAGTCCCCAAGACTGCCGGAGTGGCCACTGCGGGCCCCTCTTCCCCCTCTTCCTCCTGAGCCCACCTCCCTCAGTCTTAATTCCATCTCTGTCACGTTCACTCACACCCACCTGTGCCAGGCCTGGTGCACACGGGGGATGCAGAGGAGGCCTCCTTAACCTAGAGGGGCCAATGGGCAGTCACGACTGGGGTGACCAGGAAGGTGCCAGGCCAGGTCTCAGGATGGAATAGCCTGGGGAAGGTGGCGACAGGGAGTGCGGTCCAGAGAGCATAGCTTCCTTCCCTGGCCTCTTCTTGGGACCCCAGGTGACCACCAACATGTGCCTGTCAGTCTTCCTAGAACCTTAGGGGACTAATCACTGGAGAGAGAGAGAGACAGACAGAGAGAGAAAGAGGGAGAGAGAGATTGCACTCATATGCTAGTATGCTTTTCGGCCAAAGTCTTCATCTCCTCCCCTGTTTGAAACCCCTTCCTAGGCCCTCCTGCTCCTCTTCCTCCCTGCCCACAGCGTTGATAGCATCTTTGGGGGGAGGGCATTTGGCTTTTCTCTTCCATGTTTCATTGATCCAACCTAAGAAGGGCTTTTCAAGACTCATATCCCTATTGCTTCAAGGGGTGAGTGGGAATCAGTCCTTACAGCAGAGAAGGATTTGAACCTCCAATCCAGCAGAACACAGCCATTTAAGCAGGTCCATTAGCCCCCTCCCGAAAGGCAGTCTGTCAGGATGAACAAAGGCGCACTGAGGGGGCAGGGTGCATCCTGGGGTCGGACTGACCAAGCTTCCCAATCTGGCCCCACTACTTATGAGCTGCATGACCTCAGGCAAGTCACATCGTCATTCTAGTTTTATTATTTGTACAGTGAAAGACAATAATTCCTGCCTTATAGTCTGATTGAAAAGACTTAGTTAAGAAATCTGAAGCCTCCAGCACAGTGCCTGGTAGCCAGCTCAGCATTTGCTAAAC